ATATCAGCGGTGCTGGAAATGGTGACATCCTCATCGTCGACCACCCGAACAATAAGCTCCGCCGGCAACGTCCTCGACCGTCGGAGGGCCTCTTATCATCTGCAGCGACGACGGCGGCACCAGCTCTGTCATGTTCCTCGTCGTTTCATCTCCTTCCCGACGAATGTCTTCGTCATCGGTTGACGGCCAGAACGGCGGTTGTGGCAGCCAAAACGGCTAGAAAGGTGGCGGTTGCGACGGCCGGCCATGAATTTGACCGTGAAGGAACTCGTGGCCTTCCTCCACAACCACGGGCCATCGACCTCGCTACTCTAAGAGCAGATCGCCTCGATTTCGTCGGCCCTCCTCCGCACGCCTTAGGTCGCAGCCGTCCATTGCTCGCCACCGGACAGTCGTCCGCAACCGTCTCTCTTATGCAAGCCATCTGCCGGCGCCGTCTCGTTCCGCCATCCTTCTGCTGCCGCCGTCTCGTTCTGCCGTCCAAACGCGCTGCCGTCTCATTCCCGCCTTCCCACCACCACGCCGTCCTTGTAGGGCAGAGTCGTGAACAATCGAGTTGAATAGTCCACAATTTGTGGGGCCTTATGTTGTGAATTAAATAAAAGTGGAGGACTTCAATGTAATTATGAAATTTTGATTATATTTCAATTGAGTACATTGGGTTAAATGTGTAATTTTGTATAATATATAAAAAAAGTATTATTTTTATGATCTTTTATTCATATATATATACTATGTGATTTAAGAAATATAAAATCTTAAATAAAATATAAAAATAATATATATATATATATATATATATTTACATTTTTTTTCCCCGAAACGATAGATAGTTTTATAAATCAAAATGCACAAATGTGCGAATACACAGCAGCCAATGGCTGAATACACAGCAACTAACAGCTGAAAAAGTGGGAGGACAGGTTAGAAGCCCGCCTAGAAACCCGACTAGCAACGCTAGAAAAAGAAACACATACACAACTAAACTAACCAACAACACAAACAACTAGAACAACTACAAGGACCCCAACAGGGTAATACCTGAGTGTCGGACCCCAACGGAGTAATAAGTTTGAACCCGGGCTCGCAGAGGCCAAACGGCCCAAACCAAAGACACGTCCTAAAGCACAAAGACAAACACGAACACAAAAACAAAACAATAAACACGAAGGACAAACAGGCCTAAATCTACCAACACACAAAGCCCTTGCTAGGCAGCTTAACCAAGCAGAGCCGGTGGATACCAAGTCGACCCCGAGTGAATCCCACAGCCACAGGACCGACCCAAAACTGCCCTAACACCAACTCGGTGGCCTAATGAAGCCGAAATCCAAGCTCCAGAATAACACTCGAAATCAGACTCGAACTACTACCTCAACACCCAAGAAGCCGCAGGACCGCCACGAGACCGGACTCCCTAACACCACTAGCTAGTCCAACCACAGCCGGTGAACCCCCGAACCACAAAGATGCCGAGGCCGCAGCCACGTCCCCTACAGCCCGAAGCCACCACGATCCTCCACCCACCACTGCCCCTCATAGACCATCTCTAATGACCGGAAGACAGAGCACTGGGTCTCCCCAAACCCAACACCAGAGTAAGGGAAACAGGGCGAAAGAATCGCAGAGGAGCTCCGGCCATCCGACACCGTCGGCGTCGAACAACCAAGGCCCCACCCACCCGACCGAACACGCCCACACCACCATCGCCGCGACCCAGGAAGCCGATTAAAAGAACGGGCTAGCCGGCAACTGAAAGCCGACGCCAAACAAGATAGATGAGAGCTTACCTGGAATCGCGCAACAAGGGCTGCTCGTGAAGCCAGGCGGCGGCCAGGCGGCCAAGGGACGACCACCGATTCGTACTCAATCGCCGCTAAGGAAGGCCAATTGATGCAGATTGAGGGGGATCGAGAGCTTAGGTTTTGGGGAGGAGGAAAGGGGATCGAGAGCACTCCGATTTGGGATGTTATTATATATATTTACATTATAAATCTATAATCTACAAAGTATTATAAAAAATATTACTTTTTTTATATATTTTTGCACGTATATTAAAATAATAAATAAATGTATTAAAATTAATATAAAATATTAAAATAATAAATAAAACATTTGAAATATTAAATGAAATTTTATATTTTATTATTATAATATTTGAAGTATTTAGGTTTAGTTGTTAAATAATTGAATAGACTAATTATTTCGATTCGTTATTAGTTTCGATCGCAAATAAAAAATCCACTTTGCAGAATGAACAAATAGTATTATGCACAATAGTGTTAAACAAGATGAACATTAATGATGCACGATAAAGTTAATTTATCTAAAATTGAAATACGCAAAAAAATATACGCAAAATAGACTGCACAATAATGTTAGACGGAATACACATTAATGTGTGTGGAAATGCACAATATCGATTTCAACAAAAATAATATAAAATTTGAATTTTAAAATACTTTATATATATTTATAATATAAATAATCAATTATTTTAAGTATTTAAGGTAATTTGTTTAATCGATCGAAAAAAATCGATTGTTTCGTTATGAATGCACAATAGTGTAATCCAAGTTGCACAATAGTTATATACAAGTTGCACATTATTGAGTGCGAGAATGCACCGTAGACCTAATGACAAAATTAGTCGTTCAATTTTTTTGAAACGCTTAACTCGATAATTCAGTTTTGGCATTTTGGTATAATAAGGGTTAATTGGTAAATTTTTAAACTTCTAAGTGTATATGCGATGTTATGTAATTTCATAATATTATGACATATTTTTTAATGTGTATATCGTCACACAATATTGTGCATTTCATGTATTGTTACCGTGCGTTTTATCAATCGATATTGTGCATTTAATATTTTTATAAATTATATATTTAATTCATTTACTATTTTTATAAATTATATATCTGACCCAGGGGTTAAGATGTAATATAATAAAATTGTTGAAATTGCACATATGTCATTGGAAATTATCAAATTCTCAAAGTGAAGCCCCCCAACCCAAACAACATCTTCCAGATCTCTGCACCTCCGTCAACCCGCCGCCGACCACCGCCACCTAAGGTTCGGCTTCCAGAGCTCCACCGCCCTCGCCTCAACGTCTCCCTCGCCCGCGCTCTCCATTTGCCGCCATCGCCGGAGTCGAGTTCCGTCAACTCTCCTCCGCCGGCGACAGCCCGCTTCTTTTGCAGATTCATGTCCGTCCACCGCTCCTGACGTCGCGAAGCTGCCGTCCTCGGCCACTTAATCTCCCGGAGTGCTAAGCTCACGCTGGCGGGGCTGAGCACTTTGAAGATGGCCGGATCTATTTCGACATGATGGTCGCTGGCTATGGCAGTCGGCGGTGGGCGGCGGTAGGCGGAGGAAGGAGGGTGTCGGCCACTGTAATTTACTGTGTGTTTGGTCGCATCCATCCCCAGCGAATGGGTCGCAGCGGCAAGTTGCAGAAGTGCGGCGTCGGATCTCCGCCACTGAGGAGACAATGGCCGGTTTCTGTGTGTGTGTGTGTGGAGAAATGTGTGTGTGTGTGTGTGTGTGCACGCGCAGGTGCGTACGCACTAGGATTTTGGAAGATCGATGGGAAAGGTGGTGCAAATACTCCCTTTGTTTACAAACTAGTGTCGTTCTAGAAAAAAAACCTGGAGATTTAACAATTCATCTCATGCCTAATATTACAGTCAAATCTTCTTAAACTATATAACTTGTATGTTACTTTCCTTATACTTATTTACTTTCTTTCCATGCTATAATTATTTTCTCTATCCCTTATAATTTGATTATTCCCTTTTCATTCTTTAAGATTTATTATGTTAATCGGAAGAATAGTCAATTAGAAAAAAAAAAAAGCAAAAAAACTTCAA